GATGCTGCTTGGCCTGCTGTGTTCATCCAGCCCTGCACTTACATATTTAGGTTTTTTGTAATTGGAAGAAATGTCTTAGTTATCTGGTGTTGCTTTGATTGCATCTTCAAACCTAATATTAACCTAGTTTAAAAGAAGTGTTACAACCCAGCTGATGGTAATACTGGACAAGTCAGATCCTAAAATGATCCGAGCTTGACAGGTCATAAGTTTAATTTTTTCAGCTGGTTACTTACTGTTGATTTTTTTTTCCCTGAAGCACATTCACATGACACTGTAGATGTTCTTTATTCTTGTGTAATACTTGCATGGCTGTTAAAATCAAAGCTACACATCTAAGATAGTTGCAATGATCTTAACACAAGAAGCAAGTTTCAACCTGTTCCCAACACACTCCTTTCACAGATACTTAATTCCAGAGAAACTCCACTTCCAACTCAACTCTTTGAACTTCTAGTTTCCTTCCCTTGGATTGCAGAGAGAATTTTTTTCCAAGTCTACTGCCATGAACCTTTCTGAATTAGCTCACGTAATCTTTTAATTTTAGATAATAGGAACACTTCTCTCCACACTCTCAACGTGGATGCTTCAGACTAGAAACCACTTCTAATAAGGCGACTGGTCTCCTGATCTGAAAATCTTGATTCTCGTACTAGTAGAAAAATACTCTTCTGAACTGAGACCTTTAACGTAATGGCCTTAATGTTTGTTTAGCTGTCATAACAATATAAACATTTTATTTACACTGCAAGGTTTGATAGGCAGTTAGCTGAAGTCTTATGCCTTCTAGAAGTTCTGTATTTAGGTCAATGTTCAAATTATTTCCGGACTTCTTAAAATAAACCCTTAGGACCAACCAAAACCCATCTGCCTCATTTTAAAAATCTAAATTCTAAAATTGATAACATTATATACACTTAACACAATCAACTAAAGCAAAAACTGTTGTATTAAGCTTATACCAATATGCTTTTGAATGTTGTGTGGGTTATAGACATAGGATTGCTTTAATTTAGAATGATCTCATTTGATTACTTAATTTTGTAATTGACAGTTCATTTCTAAATTTGAGAAACAAGGTACACAAATGTTAATGCACAAAAGGACTTGCCAAGTTACTCTGGCAAGAATACATTGTTCCTGCGGCAGTAATTGCATCGTTTAACATCCCAGTTTAACCATTGTGAGCATGCTCCCAGTTTTGCTCTTTGTTATTTGAATACTTATCAAGCATAACAAATCAGGCACTCATTGCTACTCTAATTGGTGCCACTCACTTTCAAAAACTTTATGGGATGTGAGCATCAGTTGGTGAAACCAGCATGCGTTGTCCATCCCCAATTACTTGTGAACTGAGTAGTTTGCTAGGCTATTTCAGAGAGCATTTAATAGTCAAGTATATTGCACTGGGCCTGGAGTCACTTTAGGCCAGCCCAGGTATGGATGGCAATTGCCTCCCCCAAAGGACATTAGTAACCAGATGTGTTTTTATAAAAATTGATTGATTGTTTCATTGTCATGGTTACTCGGACCAGCTTTCAATTCTAAATTTGAATTCAAGTTCCACCAACTACCATTTTGGAATTTGAACGTGTCTCCGCAACATTAGTCTGGACCTTTGAACTACTTATGCAGTGACATTTTAGAAATTTATCTTCTTAATGCAATAAAGATATCACAGCTCTGATGTATAATTGGTCCTGAAAGTGAGGAAACCAGGTAAATAAATGTTGTAAGTCTCATTCCTTGAAGTTTAAGTAATTTGCCTGTAATTGGCTAAGCTTCTAACATCTGTACTTGCTGAGAGATAAATAGATAGTCTGGATACCAGTTGAGTCGTTTTGTTCTGTTCAGACATTATTTCTGCACTCTTTTGAAGTTCCTGATTAGATAACAACAGTCAGAATCTGTGATTTTTGCCAGTGCCTCTGAAACAGAGTTGTGGGCTTCACGGGATGTGTTTAGGTATCTCTCTGCCTGTACCTTTTGTGGGTATAAAGCCTCTATTTAATCATACCAAAGAAAATTATGCCACCCATGTAGGCTTGTTATTTCAGAAAGGAGAATCCTGTCAAAATTAGTTGTGTTAATTGTGTATTGCTGTGTGTGTATTGCTGTGTGTGTATTGCTGTGTGTGTATTGCTGTGTGTGTATTGCTGTGTGTGTCTTGCTGTGTGTGTATTGCTGTGTGTGTATTGCTGTGTGTGTATTGCTGTGTGTGTATTGCTGTGTGTGTATTGCTGTGTGTGTATTGCTGTGTGTGTATTGCTGTGTGTGT